GATGATGATGAGTTCCGATTGCAACGGCGATTCAACAGATCTCGGTTCAGGATCAGGTGACGAACCACCAAGAACGCTAAAACGACCGCGTTTAGTTTGGACGCCGCAGCTACACAAGCGTTTCGTAGACGCGGTTGGACATTTAGGGATAAAAAACGCGGTTCCCAAAACGATAATGCAGCTCATGAGTGTTGAAGGATTGACTAGAGAGAACGTAGCGAGTCATCTTCAGAAATATCGTCTTTACCTTAGGAGAATGCAAGGAGGAGGGAACAACGGTAATGGAATCTCCGGTGGAGGACACGTCATCGTTTCTGATTCGGCTACTGATCGGCTTTTTGCTAGCTCGCCGGTTCCGGCGCATTTTTTGAGTCCGGTTAGGGTGAGTTCGGAGTATTTGAAGCCATTAGAGCATTCATATTTAGGGAAACATGCGATGATTAGTCAGCAGAATCATCAAATGGTTCGTAATTTGAGGTATGAAGATTCGGAGTTTGGTAATAATGGAGATTGTGGTCGGAAGATTCTTAAGCTGTTTCCTGCGGGAAATTAAATGTTTTTTTTTTTAATTTATGGGATTAATAATGTTTTAAGGTATGTGGATTATTTGTGTAATTTGCACTATGCCAGGATTAATAATGTATTGTTAGTGTATATTTTGTACGCAAATGATATAAGTCTTGTTTGTATGATGCTATCATTTGTATTTCAATAGACTCAGCCTCTTCTATTATATTCAAAACTTGTTTAATTTACCTGAACAAGTCTAAATTGCAATAAAGTCGAAATTCCAAATGCAGTAGCATATGAAGTAAAATTAAAAAAGGTAAAACAATGACACTAATCCAAAGATATTACAAAGTGTTTTTGTTCTATTTTCGACATTAACAAGCGTCTCAAAATTTGGATTACACAAATCCTTAAATGATGACGAAAAACGATTACCGGTTCTGCATGTAGTCGAAACTCAGGGGCTGTGGACAGAATTGCGCCTGCAGAAACAACATTCGCGGTTAACCACTTTGTAATCAACTTTCACTCGCAAGTCTTTCATTGTGATAAAATTTTACTAAGGAAAAAGAAAACATTTAGATATAGGAAGGTCAACGATATTTACACGATTTAAACAACAAGGTTAAGGAGTGAAAAATGGCAAAAACTTGTTTACCTGAAAAGGGGCATTTCTGAAGTGCTCATATGAATGAGTATACATCACAGCTGCTGCATTTGGCCATTGCATGTACATAGCAGCATCCCTTGAAGGCTGGTTTAAACCCGTGGTGACGTAGGGGCTCATTGCAGAGTGTGGTCCAAAGTTCTGAGGATGAGGAGCACTTGGGTTTTGACTATATCCGCTAAATCCCATACCATAGAATGGTGTCGCCAGTTTCTGAACGTTGAAGTGTGCAAAGCCGAAATTTTGCTCGACCGGGAGGTTCCTATTGTACCTATAAAATAAACCCACAAGGTTAAAAGTATACGAAAGAAAAGTTTTAACCATACTTTTTTATCCACAAGCAGCTTTAATGGGTCGTGGGTGCTTTACATACCTTTCATAGCTGCGGTCATAGTCAGGGTCATACCGATCTTTTTCTCTGTCTCTTATGATTGCAACACAAGATGCGGGAATGCTCTCCCTGGGGATATGGTTCTTGTCTGCCTCGATGTTACCATTCTTCAACACTTGATTTTCATCTCTGCTAGGACTACAGTTCATCCTCCACGCATTAGTTTCAGATGAAGCGTCATTACAACTAAGGTTCTCAAGACTGTTAAATATGCGTGCTCGAGCCTTGTCGTAATCTTCTTTCCTCTCTTCGACACTTCTCAGAGTACCACTCTTCTTCTCAAGTTCACCAGATCCCATTCCTTTAGAAGGCCGGGGCTTTATAGCAATTTTCATGTGCTCGAACTTACCAACTTCTGATTGCTTAGCAGGGATTTCAGATAGTCGAACAGCAGGAAACCTGCTCTCAGCTGATTTAGTCACGAGAATTCTGCTCCCATTACCATCTGCACCACTATCTTGAACCGATGTAATCAGTCCATAGTGGTTAGCGACACGATGGGCCACAAGACGGAGATATGACGTTGGGAAATGCTGGAACTCGAATTGCTGCTGATCAGGGCTCTGCAAGAACCTCTGAATATCAAATTCCATCCGCAAAACTGTCATAACAAGAACAAAAAATGGCTTAGAAAACGATTCGATAAAGAAAAAAACCATGAGAAAGCCACCAACTACTACTATCAACAGAACCAGATAAAGAACAAGCATGATGAATCCAAACACTAAACAATCTCAAATCCAAAAATCAGAATAGCTGGATAAAAGACATTGTTATTGAAAAAACCCATTATACAAAAATCACTTTCCTAGTTATGATCCTCTACTAAGTAAGCTTCCAACTTCAATAACACTAGTCTAAGATTCTAAGGCGAAATGGGAAGATCCAAATCCGCCAAAAAATTCCCTTAGAATCAACCTATAGGCTCAATCCAGAGAATAAACAAACAATCCCTAAACCAATCGTTCCCCAAAAATCTCCAACAATCGATTTAAGCTCAATCGAGATAATCAAGTCAACAATAAAGTTTCAATTTTTTTACGCAGATTGAAAAAACCCTAGTAATGGTGGTGCTTACTCGTGAGACGATGTCGAGGGTTTTGAAGAGCCTCGACCAAAAAAGGATCCACCGTGAATCCTTTATCCGCCGTAACCGGAGAAGCTGTTTCCGCGGCCATGAGAGATGTGAAGATGGTCGGTCTCTGTAGAAACTTGTGTGGGTTTTTGTGATTCCTCTTTCCCTTTGGATTCTTTTTTTCTCTAGCAGCAAAAGAGAAGAAGAGAATCTCAGGAGGAAGAGGGTAATTGAAATCGGAGCATTGGAGGAGGAGGAGAACGGTGGTGTGTGTTTTGAGATGCAAATCTTATCTCTCCATCAAAACCAAAAGGAGAGGGAAGATAAAACTATTTAGCTAATTTACCTATAACAAGTCACACAAACTTGATAACATGTTGTAAGAAGAAAGCTAAAGACTTTAATTTTATGTGGAAAGAGTTAGATTTTGTTAGGAATCCCGACACTGAAAGTAAGATGGGATCTTCACTAATATATGAGAGATACATACTCTTCTACTCATTTTCAATTAGATTTGGATTACATAACATAATGGGGCTGTTCGTTTGTGTAGTTGG